CATCTAATAAGATGCAGAAGAGAAAGTTCTTTTCATGAGGGATTAGCTTTTCTAATGTCCAAAGGGATGAATCTTCTCAGTCCTGCTGCCACTTGTTTAGAACATGTTAGACTGGGCTCTATCCTGATTATTTTTCAGAAAGTTCCCAAAATGTGGCTTTTCCTAAGACCGTACACTTGTAAGTCAGTGTTTCTCAATCTTGGCAACTTTAAAATGTGTAGACTTCAACTCCCAGAATTCTCCAGCCAGCCTTGCATAAAGTTGCCACAACATTCAGTAAACATTACAATTTAGAATATGTTTGGTGGAAGAATGATGGACTTTTCCATTTCACAATCTCTCCTTTCCTGCAATCTCACCCAAGCCCATTACATTTACCTGAGCAACAAAGGTTCCTAGCACCACTGTACAGAAGATTGGATTCCGGAAGATGGCCTCAAATACGTTTCTTTCCCCATGAATTTTGCGAGCATTGATTTCATTGAACAGTTGCATCATGACAAAAGTGTTGAAGACAATTGTGTAATGTTCAGTGGGTGGAGAGTGGAGGGGAACATTCCGGCCACTGTCAATATCAAAAAAAATTTCACCTGTAGGAAAAGAGTTTGAACAGCACATTAACATATTCTTTCCATCTACAGATATTCTTTATGATACAATTACAGAGTAAAATATGCCACATATGCACACTGGAACAGAACTAGTGGCAAGTGTCTTGCATTCCATGACCCTGAAAGGTATAATTTTCATCATCAAGCACTCTTTTTAAATATTGTTAAATTAAAGCTTAAAAATACAAAGATTCAAAAATGACTTTACAATCTTTTTGCATGGTTGTTAAGCAAATCACCATGGTGATTAAGTGAATCAGACAGTTGTTAAATGAAGCTAATTTCCCGCATGGACTTTGCTTATTGGAAGCCAGCTGGGAAAGTCATAAATGGTGATCATGTGATTCCAGGATATTGCAACTGTCATAAATACATCCTGGTTGTCAAGCGCCTGAATTTTGATCATTTGACTGCAGGAATGCTGCAATAGTCATAAATGTGAGGACTGGGGATTTTTTTTCAAGTGCCATCCTAACTTCAAACAATTATTAAATGATCCTAAGTCAAGGACTACATCTAAGGCAATTTTATATTCCCCTTTTTTAACTTTGAAAGTTCTTGATGCTTACTCCCTTTAAATAGTGACCCAGAAACTTATTTCTTTCCATTTTCTGTCTTTCTCAGCAACTCTTTACTTCATATAGCACACCTCTTTTGTAAGTCCAAGATATGAAACTTGTCCAAGTCATTCTTCTGATGTATTATTGGTGAATCCCATTTAATTACTAAGAAATCAGCCAGTTTCATTTGTAAGTCTTGTGTAACATCTTTTTTTCCATATCATTCTTGTATTTGTCATTTTTAAATCTATATCCAAAGCAGCCTAGTTCTCAGTTGTTATTTGTCCTCTAACTCCTCTTTTAAACTCATTGTTATAATATCAGAGAATTTTTGGAGAATTTTTTTTGAGTGCGTTGATGCTAAATATCCTTGAATTCTTCCGAAGTCAAACTACTTTTCTCCATTCTGTACTGTCTCTTCTCCTTTAATTATAATCTTTACCAGCTTCTGACTACCTCTACGCTCCAGACTTCAAAGATTCCCCATATGTTTTTTTAAATTCACAACGTTTTCTCACAGGAGGATTTCTTACACTTAGGTTCAAAATCTTCATATATTTTTAATAGAATTTTAAACAACCCACAGGAAGGATTCTTATAATTAGTTTCTAAATCTTATTTCCAATCCATCTGGCCCCTTTGTCCATTTAAAACTTCAAATTGTTCCACTCACCCCTTTGCTGCTTATTTCAGAGTGAAAAATGTTCTTAAACATACATACATCTTCTTTTCTCAAGGACAGAAATATCACCCAGTATGATGAAATCTGTCTGTTGTAAAGGTTTCTAATCTCTAAAAAGCAGTTAATAAGCAGTTTCCTGAAGTGATTAAGAAAGGAAGTGGGCAAATTCAGCGTTGGCTTGAGCACTCAATTCATATGTCTTGGGCAAAACTGACTTTCCCTCAGCTCCTAGAGCAATTAAGAACCCATTGAAAGGAGACTGCTGTCTTACAGTCTCCTCATTGGGAGCATCTGTTTGAAGCACTTATGAGTGATCCCAGGTTCTCCTCGTTATCCAATATGGAATTTCAAGGTGCCAATCTGTTGCTGACTCATTGTTTTGCCATGGTTGTCAGTGCTGCAAAAGGGAAGCTGTCTTCAGGATGGCATAGCTTTCCCCAAAGTCCTTTCATCAAGAACCGTTACTAATTTTGTTACTTTTATATTCCATCTTTTTCAGTAGGAGCTTGCAGCATCTTCCTGTATTTTTCACCCTTTATCACCCTCTATTTTTATTCCCACAACATCAGCCACATTTGGTAGGGAGAGAGAGAGAGACAGACCGTGCATGAAATTTCTATGGCTGCAAATGTACTTGAACCTGGATCTCCCCAGCCATATACAAGAGAGAGGGGGAAAATGATCAGCTGGACCCTTCTGTTTGGGAGGAGAGGATGCCAGCCATCATGAAGAAAGCATGAGACGCTTCTTTTTAAAGAGGCCCACCTTGGATCCAGCAATGTTTGATAACTATTGACTAGGTTCCACTCCTTTAGACTGATGAGTATTAGCAGGTTTCAGTTACTGAGTCTACTAGAGACTTGAGCAATTTTGGATGGGACAGAAACTGGATTATTAATTATAATAATAATAATTATTATTAATAGCTCAAATCTATTAAGATTTCCAAGTGGCTCTGGATACCACAGTATACTCTTGCATTGCTTGAAGGAATTGGGGACTGCTGAAGGCACTGCTTTGCAGTGTTTCTACTCCTCCTCAGAGGTAGACAGGATAAATGGGTCTGGAAGTATAGTGATGACAGGTGACTACTCCTTTGTGTGGTACTGCAGGGATCAGTCATCTCCCTCTCTCATTTAATATGCACCTGAAACCAATAGGAGAGATCAGTTGGCAGTTTGGGATGTGAAACCATTAACATGCTGATAATATTCAGCTTTGTTTTGCCATCTGGGACCCAGTTGGGGGCTGGATGAGATGAAACAAGCTGAAGTTGAACTAAGCAACAGCAATAGCACTTAGACTTAAAAACCACTCTACAGTGTCTTATAGCACTTTATCAGTGGCTTACAAGTGTCAACATTGCCTCCAACAATTTGAATCTTCATTTTCCTGACCTTGGAAGGATGGAAGGCTGAGTCAACCTTGAGCCAGGATTGAACTCCTGGCAGTGGTCAGAGTTAGTTGGCTTACATGGAATGTAATATGGAGTGGCTGTTTGTGACTCTTCCCTGTTGGCTCTGTATTGTCTCTTCAAGAGATGGTGTTGATGCTGAGAAAGAGTTTTCTTATGTGCATGGGTATTGCTGGGTGGCCAAGGAGGGCTGTCTTTGCTCAGCTACTCATATTGCCTGGAATAGGAAAGATCTGGCTATAGTAACTCTTGCCTCTTATGCCTCAACTGGTCTTCTGCAATGCATTCTACATATGGTTGCCTTTGAAAAGCTCCCAAAATTACAGCAGCCTGGCTGCTGTGATTATGCTTGTTTCAATTATCATACTGTTCCTGTATTACTGAAAGTACTAACTGTTGACATAGAAAGTTTTATGTGGATTGGCACCAAGTTTGCTCAATCCAACCAGAGTTGACTTGTCTAAGGAATTATCTTTTAAAAGCTGCTAATAGTGTCCCATATTGTGAGGTAATGACCAGAAAGTGCCGCTTTTATATCATGGTATCAGTTCTCTGGAACAGCCTCCCATGAAGCTAAATTGGTCTTCTGTGATGTCCTTCTGGAAATTAAAGAAAAGTAGATTCTTCCAGAGATCCTGCAAGTAATCTGTCTTTGTCACAGTTAATTATTATACCATTTAAGTGCCATTCATTTATTCATTTGCTGGAATTACATGTCACATCAATCATAATAGACTGAGATTCAACAATAGAAAATATAATAATGTAGTAATATAGTAACAGCAATAATTAAATACAATAAAATAGATTACAATAATGCAAAATAAGAACATACTACATTGATACTGATATTTTTGTAGTTTGAACATTGATGTATTATTCATTTTTAAACATTGTTTCCTTAAAGATTAAAAAAAATAGTGGTACTTTTAATGAAGAATGTTTCCTTGACAGTTATTCTGAAATATTTAATAGAATCAAAATAATGAAAAGTAGCCAAATATTTACAAACCACCATGGAAATTTTAAGTTTTCTTATAGAAAATGTACAGTATGGTCCTACTTTAATTGAATAATATCTGATAATTTATCAGAGACAACATTATTATTGGACAACATTATTATGAGAAATATAATTGAGAAAAGAAAACCCTTTTTATTTTTCCAGTTATTAAAGCAAAATTAAAAAATAAAATAATTGTTGACAATTGTTTATAATTTAATACAGCATAACTAGGCAGCAATTTAGTATAACTAGAAAGTGTGTTCTTTTTTTTTTGCTCTGCTCAATTTCTTGCTCCTCTTTTAAACAAGTCTTTTGTTTTGATCCTGTCTTACTCTTAACCTTCCTGCCAACTTCTTTCTCTTGTCTTGTCAGCCTAGTCTTGGCAAATTTTGCATTCCAAAAAGTCTCCAACATCCCTAATTAATATATTCAAATTAAACCAGTGAAAAAAAGAATACAGTTTATATTAATTCACTCTCTGAGTACAAATGGCTCCTCATTTAAGCAATGTTAGAATTACCTAAGAGGCTGCTGGAAAAATAGACAGTTCCCTTAATGGAATTGCCTTTCTTTATGCTTCCATTAAAGTTGGTAGATAATTATTTGAAAACCTTCATTACTAAAAACAAAACAGCTTCTAAAATGGAAATGATGAGCTACAAATATATGTATTTCTCAGCCATAAAACCAATGAAATATAAATACAGACTCTGCCTTAGAGTTATAGCGAGATTCTTAGACTTCAACAGTAGTTGTTTTTTGCTGCTGCTGTTCCACCCTCCCCTCTGAATTTCTGCTGGTTCTGCAGTAGGTGAAAAAGCACAGAGCCTCTAACAGGAAAAAAGCAAACAGAATAATCCAGAAGTTTTCCTCTATATGAATCTAGTTTACTGATGAATGGAATAATTCAGTTTAACAGTGCAAACATAATGCTTCCAGTTAGAATGAAATATTTTTTTCACTGGAAGCTGTGTGCTATCTCCACTTCTCTTCTCCCTATATACCAATGACTGCATCTCAAACGATCCATCTGTTAAAATACTGAAGTTTGCTGATGATACAACAGTGATTGGTCTCATTCGAGACAACGATGAATCTGCATACAGACAGGAGGTTATACAACTTGCCTCGTGGTGTAACCAGAACAATCTGGAACTGAACACACTCAAAACCGTAGAAATGGTGGTAGAAGTGGTAGACTTTAGAAGCAACCCTTTCATACTACCACCTCTTACAATACTAGACAACACAGTATCAACAGTAGAGACCTTCAAATTTCTAGGTTCTACTATATCACATGACCTAAAATGGACACCTAACATCAAAAACATGATCAAAAAGCACAACAAAGAATGTTCTTTCTGCGCCAACTCAGAAAGCTCAAACTGCCCAAGGAGCTGCTGATACAGTTCTACAGAGGAATGATTGAGTCTATCATCTGCACCTCTACAACTATCTTGTTTGGTTCTACAACCCAACAGGACAGACACAGACTTCAGAGGATAATTAGGACTGAAGAAAAAACAATTACTACCCCGCTGCCTTCAATCGAGGACCTATATACTGCACAAGTCAAAAAGGCTGTGAAAATATTTACAGACCCCTCACATCCCGGACATAAACTGTTTCAACTCCTTCCCTCAAAATGACGCTATAGAGCACTGCACACCAGAATGACAGAAGAACAGTTTTTTCCTGAAAGCCATCACTCTGCTAAACAAATAATTCCCTCAACATTGTTCAACTATTTACAAAGTGTACACTACTATTACTGTTAATCTTCTCATCACTCCTTATCACCCATCCCCTCCCACTTGTGGTTATAGGATTGTAACTTTGTTGCTTGTATCCTTACAATTTATATTGACTGTTTCCTCGTATGTTATGATTCTTGATTCTTAACAAATGTACCTTTATGTATACTGAGAGTATTTACACCAAGACAAATTCCTTGTATGTCCAATCACACTTGGCCAATAAAAGTATTCTATCACAACTGAAGCTGTACCAAGTTCTAAAAACACACAATACGATGAGGAACATCCAGTTTGTGTGGAGTCAAATTTATCAGGAGAAATCTCTTCAGCCTTCTCATTGTCACTAAGTGCAACATAAAACATGATCCTTCAGAATTTAATTTTGCAGGTTTTCTTTCCATTTTTTGACTATTCCTGTCATAAGCATACTACAATGTAATTTCATTCATACTAATTAAATTGATACCCACTGTTTTGGCTGATACTTTAAACAGCTATGAGCTTCTACAGCTGATGCTGAATATTAATATAAATTCTGTTATAATCAAGTACAATAAAGGAATAGGTAGTAAACTTCATCACGAAGTAAGCAGTACTAGTAATCAAAAACCAATTTTCCTTGGCTTGCACTCACGACAATTTAAGACATAAAATTGTGTGGTATTATACTATTTATCAATAACTACTAGTTGCCCTTAAAGACCATGACATCTGTATTCAGCATTACTGAGAGATTGAAATATGTCTAATGAAAGAGGACAGAGGTCAATCAGGTGTATCCCCTGAATACTGAAGTATCTTTACCTATTTCTTGGCATAGATTTTCACAACTACAATGACCTACAACTACAATGACCAACTACATGACCTTTTTTTCATTTTCTCAAAAGCACCAGGAGACAAAACATGTCCCATAAATTGAATTAATCAGCTGAGAACTATCATGGAGATCTTTTAAATAGGTTTTTTCTCACTATCTTGGAAGAGCAAACAGATAAGAATATAATTAGGGCCACAGATTTGGATTACAGAATCCGGAACACTAGATTAAGAGAAAGAAAACTGTTTGCTATCACCCAGAACACTGGGTGATAGCAAAGTTTTCTTTCTTTTTTTTACAGCTTAATGGTCAACTGGATTTTTGCAGCCCAGACCTTTTAGCCTTATTTAATCCAACAACAGAAAAAATGATCCCAGATTACTTAGCTGTTCTATACGCTACCCTCTACTCACCTGCAAAAAGTAATGTGAAAATAATGGTGAGCTGATACACGGCATGTCCCAGAATGTTCTTCATCATGGTTCGGGAAATTAGTGGCTTGTTGCGACCATATGGCCTACGCAGGAGCAAAGACTCTGAAGGGGGTTCTGTGGCAAGAGCTAATGAGGCAAAAGTGTCCATGATCAAGTTCACCCACAACATTTGGACAGCCTTCAGAGGTGAATCCTGCAAAGAAAGAAAGAAAAAATCCTTTCAAAAACTACTGTAATATACTGCAAACATAGTTCATGGCTATTCTTCCCCTTCCCCTAGTTCTTTAACTTGGGAATTGACTAGTGCTGAACTCATACATCTGTCTTACTATGATAATCCAAGAATACTAGCATTTCCAGTCCAATATTATTACTGTTAATACAATGATTAAATACTTTGTTAGTTTAGTATTACAGTATGTCAGAGACAACAAGCATCTCTTTGTGCAGCTTGAATACTCTTCTTCAAGTTGTTCACATTCCTAATTTCAACTGAATAAAGGGGAATGTCAATTCTCTAATTCTAGTACTGTAGAAATCTTTGCATAAATGTGATGCAAAAAGAACTGCTGCAATCTTCTGATGAAAATATAAATTGTTTATCACCATTAGCCATAGTAATCCATTATACACTGAATTATTATCTCTATCACCTCTATTTGTGACCTTCCTGGGGTATCTAACTGGCTACTGTTAGAAAAGCTAAATTAATAGACTTCTGGTTTCCTTCTGGAAAGTAAAGTTCTTTTTAATTTAATTCTCTTATCGTTGAACTTTTTATCTTCATGTGCATGAAGACAAAGTTTCGATTGTTGTATTTGAAAACCTCCAATGGAACCTAGATCAGCTCTAATTCATTAGTAAAAGCCCAACTCTTTTAGCTATGGTTACCTGTGTGATGCAAGCACCCGTGAAAGCCACAATCACAGCCACTACATTGACTGTCAGCTGGAACTGCAGGAATTTGGAAATGCTGTCATATACATTGCGGCCCCACATTACTGCCTTAACAATGCTTGTAAAATTATCATCTGTCAGGATGATGTCTGAAGCCTCCTTAGCCACATCTGTGCCAGCAATGCCCTGAGAAAATAAAGACCAGACAGAGGAAAAACAATTAGTCAGAAAGGAAGCATTACATTTGTTTATGTTCAATTTTAAGACTTGCACCCACAAAATGTTAAATGTCAGTTCATTTCAGATGTGACACTGCAGTGTACATTATATGGAAACACCTCGTTTTTCCAAAAGATCCAAATGAACCAACACAAGGCTCTTTGACAATTAAGATACCTAGTCTGTATTAAGACAATTAAGATACCTAGCTTATCTTTTTTCCCTTTCAGATCAAAAACTGTGAGGAAAAGCTGGCCATTGCCTGTTTGCTTGGGACTTTTTGGTAAAGAACCAAAGCAAGTGATTAAGGAGGCTGTTAGACTTATTGCACAACTCAGTTACAAACATGTGGTGGCAGTCAGTGACTAGAAAATCTTTGCCTGTTAGAATAGGCCAGCAAATCTCAAACCCATTAAGTAGGTTTCCTGTAGCTACCAATTTTCCCTAATGCTTGCCTGCTGTGTCCTACTGAGCCCAGGGATGGTGAAATTTTGTCTTGGGCTGCAAGATTTCTGATTTCTACAACTGAACAAGCTAAACAGAAAATAGAACACAATGAAAAGAACTTTAACATATATACAATGTTGCAGGTTTCTTTTGGTCAGCCAGCCAGCGTTATCAGTTATTAGTTCCATCATGCAAAAATACACACAAACAAATAATTATCTCCTTTTTTATTTGCAATGTAGTCCCTAGAATATTAGCTCATACCATAGCAAATCCAACATCTGCTTTCTTCAAGGCTGGGCCATCATTGGTGCCATCTCCAGTTACAGCTACCACCTGCCTCTGTTCCCCAACAGTACTGTCAATAATTCCTGAAAATGAGCTTAAGGTCAGTAGAAGATAAGCAGACCCCTAGGTTTGCTGGCAAAATTCTAGAAACAATTTACATGATTATCAGGTAAAGCCCTGAACATCCTAAGGCTATGATATATGGACTGTATAGTTTTCCAAGAGATTAATATCTTGTCCACTAAGACAAATTGATGAGACATCTTTTTTAAATGTGAGGAATGTACAAAGGGCTTTATTTTTGTTATCATGCCCAGACAGTGGAATTCCCTTACTTCTAAGAAGTTAATATAGCATATTCCCTTGCCAACATTCTGCTGCCAAATGTGGATGGAACTGTATTGCTCAGATTGGTGTTTAACAAATATTTGGGGTTTTTTTTTGTTTCTGATTTGTTGCTTTTAAAAAAAAATCTATTCAATATTTCATATCTAGTTTTATTTTTCATTGTTAAGGAGTTTTCACTGTGTAGGTTGCGTCAGGTATTTCATTTTGGAGCTGGATGCCAAAACATGAATGCATGTCAATTCAGCAAATCTGGCTCTGTAAATGCAATGTATCTGTTCACTTAAGTTTTCACAAAGTGCATTCAAACTTCTCTCCCTCCACTTATCTTCTGACATCATCTTAGAAAACAAATGCTACCTCTTTGGTTGACCATACCTTTCACAAGGGTGTGTTTATCAGTTGGTGAAGAACGTGCCAAGACTCGAAGTTTAGGCCAGATTTTATCCAGTTGTTCTTGCTCCACCTGCAGAGCAAAACCCCGACAGGACAAGCTAGGTTAGCTCTGAAAGGGGCTTTCGAACCAGTCTCCCCCCTCTTCTGAAAACATCATCCATTTTCTCAGAAGAATTTCATCTAATGCCCAATGAAGAATGGCATAATAATTGCAGGTAGTATGGAAAAACGATTCGGTTAACATTAACATGGATCTGACATATCATCAGAGAACTGCAGGGTAAATACCTTAGAAATCAGCAATATATGGCAACAGCTACTCCACTGTAGCAGGCCATAGCACAGGGGTCTCCAAACATGGCAACTTTAAGACTTGTGGACTTCAACTCCCAGAATTCCTCAGCCAGTTTGGAGACCACTGCCATAGCAGATACTTGCAACTTTAGAGAAATAGGCAAAGAAGCCTTCTGTATACCTAACAATACTATCTATTAATCCCTTTCTCTGATAGCTAATGTGCTTTGAATTCCAAAGATTCATGGTTCCATTGAGACCACATGTATGAATGAATCTATCATTTTTTCCATTTAATTAAAGATGAAATTAAATGATTTTTTTAAAAAAAAACTGTATCACTATAACTGAAAAAGGATAGTAAAGAAATAAAATCTGGATATAGTATGGTGATTAAAATAAACTAGACATGACAAAAAAGAAAACTATTCAATTGGCAAGGAAAAAAGAAGAAAAAAAGAACTGCTTAATAATTATAAACAGCAATGTAAAAATGAATTCAGTCTTTAAGTTTATTTTTAAATCTCGAAATACAGAAACACAGTGCTTGATCTTTTCGTTTTTGAACACTTGAACACTCTCCAAAAAAGTTAATAGACTCATATCCTGGATCTGTAAAATCTGGAGATTTTTTTAAAAAAAAATTGCATAAAATTATCTTCTTTGTCATGCACTAAAACTCTAAAAGTCAGAAATCACATGTAAAAAGAGGGGTCAGAGTAAACAAAATATTGATTTGTTCTCATTTATATTTAAATGCAATGCAATGAAATAAAATAGAGCTAATGCGATTATTCTCCGTATTTTAAATATTTTTCCCTCCTGCCCCACTTGGTAACATGCTTTGGAGATATCAGCTTTGAAGAAACTTGATCGGCTTCAATCCCTTCCTCATATTACCTCTCCTTTCTCATTGCGAATGAGACGATTGAATTCCTTTCCTTCCAAGCATAGGAAGTCCTCTCCAGGCAGCAAGATCCCACACTTAGTTGCAATGGCACGTGCTGTGTTGATATTATCACCTGTAACCATCCTGACAGTAATACCAGCACGCTGGCACTTCTGAATGGCCTCAGGTACCTATTGGCAAGCCATGAAAAACAGAACCTATAAGCAAGGGACCATAAAGTAGGCCAAAAAACATGAGGACTGAAATAAGTAATTAGGGGAGGAAACTGTAATAGCTATTGCACTTAGACTTATATATCGCTTTACACTGCTTTACAGCCCTCTTTAAGCGGCTTATCAGCATATTGCCCCCAACAATCTGGGTCTTCATTCTACCGACCTCAGAAGGATGGAAGGCTGAGTCAACTTTGATTTGGTGGGATTCAAACTGCTAAACTGCTGGTAGCCAACAGTTCACAGAAGTAGCCTGCAGTACTGCATTCTAACCACTGCGCCACCATGCCTCTAATAACTTATATTGTAATGATAAATTTATTCTTCAGTTATGGATTGCGCCATGGCATCGTAATCTGTTTACAAGGAGGGACAACGAACATGGTTAAAAAAGGACTATCTGGGTTTGCAGAAACACAAAACATTTGGAGAACAATTCAAAGACCACTAAGGTCAGGTGAGGAGAAATTGAAAGCCAGAGGTTGAGAAAGGAGAGTTCAGGGGCTGACATACCAAGTAAGAGCACCCTACTCTACAACACTTGATTATCAATTCCACTTACCTGAACAATTACATCATGAAACCACAAGTCAATGGCATAAATTGGCTAGTCAAGTGTTGAACAAGAACCAGGGAGATCCCCGTTCCAGTTGCCCTTCATGGAATTGTTTGGGGGCAGCCACTATCTCTTACTAATTTTCAATGAGCTCCATTGGATTCTTAAAATAGTTAATATGATAATGCAAACGTGACATAATGGCCAGAAATTTCCTGCTTTTAAAAAGGAAAATATTCTGTATTTACTCAAAGTCCTAATGTAAATCTCATAGCAATTTGTGAGAAGAAATAAAGTCTATAATTGCTTAAAGTCAATGTAACCTATTTTGTGTTTTGCAGGGACCATGCAACTTGCAATGGAAGGTCAAATACTTCCATTAAGAAGTGAGAAGCTGCAGATTATTTTGAATGGGACTATACAGATGTAATAATAGAAAATGCTCAAGCATTAAATTGCTTTACATTTTTCCTAATGGGCCTGTGAAACTTGTTCTTCTTCCTACTACTCTGCCCTGCCATAACTAATAATTTCATGAACCTGGGCAACACACATATATTTCAGTGCAATACAATATTCATGCTGGATTGTGGATTCTCAAGATAAATAGCCAGGCAAAATATCTGTGCTAAATGATTTCTAGAACAGACATCCTTGCCTATAAGATATATAAACTTCTTGCTTTTCTTCAAATATACAGTGCTGTTAGGGGTCAATTTTATCCCTCTCCTGATATGGGATGGTATATAGAAACAGATTAATCTCCACCTCTTGACTACATCAGATCATCACTGCTTATGTTAACTCATTACAGATCAAACCATACATAGAGTGATAGTAGTGCTGAGGACTGACTGAGAAGAGAAACATCATTAAGAAATCCACAAATTGAATCACCGCCTCCAGACTAGTGCATGCAAGGCATCTGTGAAGCCATTTGCAATCCCAGATAATTATGGGAACAGTGTACAGGGGGCATGTTCTGAAATGTAATCAAGTAGAAGTCATAGGATGATTTATTTTATGTCAGTTGTCTGCTTGTCACCCCTATAGCAAATTGTGAGAGAAAACAGAGCCTGGGAAGAATGAAATAAACCAAAGATAATCAATTTTCCTCAGTAACCAAAATTTCTTCCTAGAATATATTTGGATGCTTTAAAGAGGAATTTGTAAATTATAGTTGCCATTTTTAGGGCAGATATATCTGGTGTTTTCTAATAGATACACAGAATGCATAATTTTTAAGTGAAGTAGTTATCATTTTCCATTTTTAGATGTCTATGCATCTTTTCCTGACAGTTTCCAATACCTACAACAATTGCAAAACAGGGTGAAATTCAAGAAGGGTAGATTAATCTTTGTTCCTGCAAATCTCTGAAAGAAAATGTGGGACCTTTCTACTATCTCCCTGCTAGGTAGGTACAAAAGACCAAAACCAGAACAGAACTGTAATTCTGCTATTAAACTCACAAGGGCTCTTCCCACAAACAGCAACCTTACTGATAACACAAGGTTGTTATCAATGAACACAAGGTCTTTGTAACTGAGAGTGGCACAATCTTTAACTGCTGGTGGAAAATGAGCAGGGTGTGGAACATCCTCTAAAGCAGGGGTCATTTTCAAAGAACCATTTAGACCAGTTTCCCACAGAAAACACCGGGAGCCACAAAACCTGGGTGGGCATGGCCAACACAATGTTACTCATGCCCACGCAGTCACATAACACTCCTAGCCATGCCTATCCAGGTATTGTGGCTCCTGGTATTTTCTTTTATCTGGGAAACAGGTATGTATCTCTCTGTGTCTCTCTCTCTTTTTCCCTTTCTCTCTCTCTCATCTCTCTCTCTCCCACCCTTTCTCCCTCTCTCTCCCTCTCTCTCTGTCTCTCTCCTACTCATCTTTCTCCCTCTCTCATCTCTCCCTTTCTCTCTCACTTTCATCTCTGTCTCTCTCTCTCCCTCTCCCTTTCAGTTCTCTTTCTCCCCGCTCTCTTGTGTGTGTGTGTGTGTTCCCTCTTGAACAATTTCCAAAAACAGGCAAGGGTTGGGTTGTTGTTGTTTTGGGCTGATCTTGTTCTTTCTTCTTGAGTACTTTTTACGATACGATTTAAATCAAGAGTCATTTCAGATTCCCAGATAAATGATGATCTTTCATCCCCCTGCTGTAGCTCCCTGACGGCTGAACACACCACTGGTTGGCCCCACCCTTCGCCCTCCCCTCCCACTCACTCTTTGTCTAAGAAGCGAAGGGTGATGGTGGTGCATGGAGACTTGCTCCGTATTCCAGAGCGGGAGTGAAGTGCCCCTCTACTTGCATCTTCTTCTGGCCCATCTTGGTGCTGTGCACACGAGGGAGATGCAGGACTTTCTCTCTGCTCCGAGGCACTGGCTGGGCTGGCTGCAGCCGATGTCCACATCATAATGGGCTCCAGGAGGAGGAGGGGATGCTGTCTCCCCCATTGTGAAGCACACTAAGTATAAATGGGCTGCGCAAGGTGCTGCAAGAGCAGCAAGCATGCCATAGAGCAGGGGTGGGCAAACTTTTTGGCTCGGGGGCCTCATTGACTTTTAAAATTTGACAGACGGGCCGCCACCTGGTGTCGAAATGCCTGTCATTACAAGTCAAAATCAAATGAATGCAATCATTCACATCAAACCTTAATTCTGTACCAATCTTCAGCGGGCCGGGCCGGATTAAAAAGACCAACGGGCCGGATGTGGCCCGCAGGCTGTAGTTTGCCCACCCCTGCCATAGAGGCATTGAGAGGAATATGGCAAGATGCACATCTTTCTCTCTGCCCTGAGACACTGATGCTGCTGCTCTCACTGCCTCCATGGCCTGCAGCACACTTAAATTTAGCGTGCTTCACAATAGGGGAAGACAGCATCCCTCTCCTCCTCCTGGAGCTCATTACAACATGGAGCATCAGCTGCAGCCGGCCCAGCCAGGAGTTTCGGGGCAGAGAGAAAGTCATGCATCTCCCCAGTGCACGCAGCACCAAGAAAGACCAGAAGAAGAGACAAGTAGAGGGGCGCTTTGCTCTCCAGTCTGGAATACGGAGCGAGTCTCCATCCACCGCCCTCGCTCTTCTCTTCTCAGAGCAGGCGAGGAGTGACTGTGAGAGGAGAGGGAGGGGAGGGACCAGCCAGTGGTGGGATCATCCAACAGAGAACTGCAGAAGAGGGCCCAAAGAGCCGCATGTGGCTCTGGATCCGCATGTTGCCGACCTCTGTTCCAAAGGCATTCATTGATACATGAACAGAAATAGAAAAAAAAAAAGTTCAGGTAGCTCAAGAAAAAAAAACAGAATTGCATAAAGAAGTAGATCCAAAGCAAAGCAATGAAAAAACAAAATAAAGGATAAAAGAATAAACTGCAGGAAAATAAATGGTGAAAGACAATAGTAAAAAAGCAGAGCAAGTCAAAGAGAAGGGACTGGAAAAAATAAGATAACAGGTACAATATCAAAATGATCAAGGGGAGCAAAACAGGGGTGAACAGGCAGTATGGAAACAAAATTGGAAACAGCAGAAAGAAAAAAGAATGAACATGCATAGAATAAGATTATAATTAGAAAAGAACCACCATTTTATACTGTCTGTGTTTGCTGGACTTCAATTCCTATAATGTCTAGCTAACTGGGGGATGCCAGGTTGGGAAAGCTAATTTAATATTTAATGTATTATGTGCACACAGGAAAGAAAGTTATCCTGGTACCTCTGGACGAACAGGATCCTCAATGCCAACAACAGTGATGCAAGTAAGGTCAGACAAAATCTCATTTTCAGCATCCCAGTCAGGTTCAACAACACCAGGGAAATCCCGGTAAGCTAGACAAATAGTGCGCAGCCCCTGACAAGCCATTGGTTCAATCACTTTTTTCACCATCTCATCCCGGTCTTTCACTTTAAATAATCGAGTTTCCCCATTTTTGTCCAAAATTTTTGTGCACCTGTGTTAAAACAAAAGGATTAAGCACATATTTCAAAAACTATGTTCATACTTTACAAGCAAAGCTTAAGCTATTTGTATATAACCTATCAACAGGTTGTGCGTCTCACATGTTTTCTTAAGGAATATATTAGACACATTAATTTTCAGGTAAATTATTAATTGTGTGAATTCTTTAAAAATGGAGGCTCAAGAAGTGTGATCAAAATGAATTTCTACAAACAGAATGTGTAGAAATGTGTGCATATGGAAATACAATGGATTTAAGCCTTGAACTGCTAACTGAACCCACATACCTACAAATCTGTAACTTAAATAAAACTTCTTACAGCTGCTAATTTATACTGGAAGGAAAGTCTTCGATTACTCCTCGTCAATGAGTTGGGGAAAAGCATTGGAATATCCCAGAATTCATGCTGGCTATACTGGAAAAGCTTTTAAAACAACTCTTTTAATGTTAATTCAAGCTACTATCTTCATTCACTTGAGAAGTTTGGAAAGACAATCCTGGCAGATGAGAAGAGTTGATTCCAAGATATCGCAAATGGAGATCAAACATATAGATGCAGCTTACATCCTACTCATAAAGACTGAATATTTTTAAAAATATTTTTAAGATTCAGGGATGGAAGAGAATTGCAACCTCTTTTCAAACTGTAGTCTATAACTACAAAAGATTAGCACAATAATAAAGACAATTAATGATGTTTCATCAATTACTTTTATTTCAACCATTTCTCAGTTTACTTAGTTGAAAGTTTTCCTGAGTGAAACATCTGAAGGAATCAGGTGAAGAGCCTGAATTAAGCCTTTCCTAGAGAACTAGAAACACACAAGAGAGAAGATATGCTAATAGAATTTTAACTGGAAATAAAATAGAGAAGTTAATAGGTTTTCCTTTCTGTTCATACTACCATAGGTTCTTTCAGATATTTCATACCAAATATTCATACTTTTTTTTTAATTGTTCCCATTTAGAAAAAGCACTTCTTCACTACCAGGTTTGCTGTATCTATCTCATGAAAGCATCTTATTAAAAATAATGTCCCAATAAGCATGAATAATACCAGCATTGAGAGGAACATTACTTGCGTAGGATGATCTCAGAGGCTCCTTTGCTGTACATGCGAAAACTCCCATCCTGGTTTTTTAGCACTGTACTCATAGATTTACGGACAGAATTGAAGGTGTAGACCTTATAGAGCTTTTCTTCAGGCACTTCACTACGGACAGCTTGATAATCCTGCTTCAAGTCCAGAACAAAGCCCAAAAGTCCACACTCTGTCTTATTTCCGACTTGACGTGGCAGTCCTCCTTCTTTCTCTGGTGGCTAAAATCCCAAATCAAATATAATAAGAGAAATATAGTAATTTCTTGGACCATAATCACAATTATTTAATCTCTCACAGAAAGACTAAAACTTCAGTGGGCTGTTGTGATGAGATAGAACTTAGACAAAAATATCTGATTAAGATAATTAAGGTAAGAAAGCTTGTTGGTTTAGAACTCTATTAAGCAGGCAACCAGATTCCAACTGGAACATACAAAAGGGCATGAATGCAATGGGCTTCTTCCACTAGCACTCCTCAGGCAGATGTGAAGATTCAGAAAACAGAATTTAAGCTCTTTCACTATCCATCCATCCATTCTTTTTTTTTTTTGAAAATTTTATTTGGGTTTTCACAAAAACAAAATACAAATAAAACATATTTTTTTGAAAATAGCATGGTCCCAGGTTATCACTTCTTCATACAGACACAAAACTCAATTTCATGCTCATTTTTATATTCTATTCCATATCTTATTACCATTTTATATTTTCTACATAGTTTTTCCCCTCTTTTAATTTTCTCCACTTTATTTTAATTATCTCATCTCAATTCAAATCATTATATTTATACTTTTGTCTGTCCTGTTTCAATTTCATATTATCTTTTCTTATTAAACAAATTTTTCCTTGTAGTACCAATTGGAGTATGACACCTTTATATCTTTTAATTTTATCCATTCAAACTCTTATTTAAGCTTCAATGTATACCTTTAAGATTATAGCATTCAATATAATACATAACTTCCAATCGAATTCTGCTTGGTACATTCTTAAAATACACACTATATTCTTAAAAAGAAAAAATTATATATATATATATGTAAATAAAACACACATTCCATTCCAATTCAATTCTATCATTAATATTCATTAAAATCTTAATATCTTTAACATTTCTTTTCAATTAAATATCATACTTCCTTGGGAACACTTATAAACTTTCCATAGTTAATTGTTTTTTTTCCATATTTCTCACTTATATTTTTATAAATCATTACTAATAATTAAAACATTCCCATTTAATTCTCTCAATCACTTTAATTCATTTAATCACCTTTCCAAAGTCAAATGAACTACGTAGTTGTTATATTGCCCTTAAAATCAATTCCAATATAGAAATCTGATTCAGAAGATCACTTCTTCTCAATATTAAAGCAAGGGAGAAGCTAAATTCTCCCCTTTCTCTTATCACAATCCTAATAAAACAGAAACTTCCATGAATTCATTTTAAAACAAAACAGGCATTTAACACCTCAAATTGTTTATATCCAATTCCAAACAGTTTTATTAGAAAATAACAAAAATGCAATAGAATTTGTGGCAGGTACTGAACACTAAGAAAAAAAATTTCAAAGAGAAAAAAATGCTAAATTACATTTTAAAAATCATCAGCAAGTTAACAATATGGCTGCTGATTTTAGTGCTGGATACTGATATATCTATGGGGCATGAGCCACATAGGTAAGAACATTACATTTACTTGCACTTTATTTAATAAGTCTTTTCTAGAGATCACGCATGAGCAACAAATGCGCGCCCATACACATTCTGAACCACTTTTCTCCCTAAATATAGAAAGCTGACAGTACTCAGAGGCATCCTTGCAGGAAAAGCAACTGTAAGCTATATACATAGATTAAAGGGGTAGAGCTTGTGCCACAACACTGTTTTTGTCTTTTTAATGAAATGTTGCAGATGCCTCTGATAGTCCTAGTTATTTTTTACCTTTCAGAAATTGAAGACTTAATCTCTTAAAGTTTCATTTTCTATCTGTGAAAAGAATATTAGAATGTTCTTATCTGATTCATTTGTCCTTTGGATTTTTTAAGAAAAGTTCATTCACTCATTTCTCTCTCTCACAGAAATCACTTCCCAATGTTCAGGAGGGAAGTATATTTTGTTAATACTTTTATTGTGAATGTGAAATGAGGAAGAAGAGAAGGATCTTTATCATGTATATACCCTCACACTCAACGCAAGGCAGTGAACATATCTAATACTCTGGTCTCCTATTTTTCTCACAACAACAATCTCTTAAAAGAAATTGTTGTTGTTGTCTTAAAAAGAGAGTGACTAGCCTGAAGTCACCCAGCTGGTTTTCATGCGTAAAGGAGGTATAGAACTCACACTCTCCTGCTTCTAGGCTAGTAACTTGACCACTACACGAAACTGGCTCTCAATATTTCCTAAGCATTAATAATTTAATGATTAATAATGAGGCACAGTGGTTAGAGTGCAGTACTGCAGGCTACTTCTGCTGACTGCCAGCTGCCTGCAATTTGACAGGTTAAATTTCGCCAAGCTCAAGGTTGACTCAGCCTACCATCCTTCTGAGGTGGGTAAAATGAGGACCCAAATTGTTGGGAGCAATATGCTGACTCTGTAAACCGCTTAGAGAGGGCTGTAAAGCACTGTAAAGCGGTATATAAGTCTAAGTGCTATTGCTATTGCTAATTTTCCTCTTCTGTCATATTAAAAAAAAAGGCTTTTTCAAAGGCTCCAAGGCTTACATCCAAAGTTATTAGTGGGCATGTGCAACTAAATGAAACTTAATCCTGATTGTGTACCCTAGACCTGATAAAAGATATTAAGTATTAACCCCCAAATAAACTAGAACTTACCAAGATTTTAGAGGTATAGGCTGAATTTATTGAAACACCATTGACAATAAGGTCCAGGACTTTGGGAAGAATAGCTTCTGGGTCAGGAATCTGTCGGTAGTGGGTATCTCCCACATAAGCTTGCACCACAGTCATTCGATTCATGGTAAGGGTCCCAGTCTTATCTGAGCAAATAGCGGTGGCATTTCCCATTGTCTCACAAGCATCCAGATGCCGAACCAGATTGTTATCTTTCATCATTTTCTGTGTTAGAGAAACATTAAAAAAATACTGAAACAGATTCAAACTACTCAGTGGCACAGAGAAGATTGGTAATCAAATTAACATGAAGATGCACATATCAGAATAGGAATGAATAAAATAAAAGATTTTTAAAAAACAAAACAATAAACTAGGGCTGTCAAACTCGGGCCCGTATGCATCACATGCTGGCCACGCCCATGCCCATGCCCACGCCCGGTTTAGCAAATGGAAAAAAAAAGTCCTGATCTGTCACGTGATGCCACTGTGACGTGAGTTTGACATCCCTGCAATAAACCACAACTTTCAACAATGCATCTAGAAATTTTCCATCCCCTATTGTATAATATGGTAAAATTAACATCAGAAGACTATATGGATACAAATCTCTTTTTGTATCTAGAAAACTTTTTGTATCTAGAAAAGGCAGGCGATCCAATGAGTGAAGGAAGCAGATGTAACATTTGAACTAAATATCAGGATTGGTATAGCTGCTGTTAATGTTAATACTGTAAAACTGTTTTTCAAAATTCATCTAGTTACAGAACTACAGACATGTCTGCCTAGAATTCTCTTGCATATTTTTGCTTTTTTAATTTTTCCAAAATAACATTCTTTCAAACATCAAAATATATATTTAAAATCCACTTCATAAAATCACATTTGTAATGCCTCATATTGTGATGTCCAAAAATATAAGTAAAAATATAAATCCACTATCAAGTTGTGTTTATCTATTAATGATGCAACCACATGTTCTCAATAACACTACAGAAATGTTTTTCAACTTTTCAACTTCTGAGTCTTATCTGGAATTCTCCCATTCAAATTCTGTTTTAAAATTTTTAATAGTAATTTCATTAAAAACAACAACTATAAAAGTAAAAATTTCAAACTAAAAAAATGGAAAAAAAATGCAGAAAAAAGCAAGAAAATAGACAAAATAGAAAAGGAAGAAAAATAAGAAAACAGTAGAGAAAGAAAATATATAAAGAAATATGTTTCCCTGTTATCTCAAGTATAACAGTTTTAGTAACTTATCACTTTCTCTTAAAATACAACAAATAATCTCTTCTTCCCATATCCTACCTGTAAAAAATCCTTAAAACCTTATCATTTAAGTCATGATCAGCAAAAATACATAAAGAGTTACCAGAGATAACAACCAATCATCAATCTCAAACTTGATCAAATAAATCAACTCATCAAATCAACAATTCATTCCTTTTACTTTAAATAATCTGGACCTTTAGTCTCTTCAAATAATACTGTAAAACTTGATTACTTTTTTTTTCTTCTCCTCACAAAACTCATCCAAGCTTTAACAAGCCTCTTTTGTAAATCTAATATAAGAATATTTTCCATGTCACTCTCTTGTACGGTTATTTGTATACCCTTTTAATGATTAAGACATCAGCTAGGTTCTTATTCTAGACAAGCTCAACCTGCTTAATTTTCAAACAAAATATCACAGACAGGTGTTGCCATCTGTTCAGTAAGATACACGTCTACTTTTTTAAAAGAATGCATCTTATTGAAGAAACAAGGCAGAATAAATTTACAAATGAACGCAAATGTATTTCATTGCATCTTATGTCCCTTATCCCACACCCAAACTTAGCCTTTTCACAGTAAGAACCAAGTACAGTAATTTAACAATGCATCCCAGCCCATCCAACGTCCTGTCATGTCTAGATCCAAAAGCCTTAGAATTTCCTGCGGAGTTCCTATTCTCACCTTCACAGAGTAGGCCAAAGAAATAGTGACAGCCAGGGGCAGGCCTTCAGGAACAGCTACTACTAGCACAGTGACACCAATAATGAAGAACTTGACAAAGTACTGGATATAAATGGGAGTACATTCAGCCAGCCATGATCTTCCTTGAATCCCAAAAGTGTCGATCACAAAATATAGCACCAAAATAATAACTGTGATTGCTGACATAATCAATCCTGAGGAGGAGGAAGAGAAAAAAAATGGTCACAAAGGGCTATTTCCAGCAGATTACAGTATTGACTGCATTATGGATATAACTGGAAGTAAGGCAGCAGATCTGGGCTAAGGCTATTTTATTAAAACAGGAAATGTGCATTCTTCCAGATATCGTTGGAAATATCATTTTTGTGTCCATACTTAATGTCAGTTCATGTCAGTCATATAGATATTCTAAGCTTAATATGTTACCTGAGAAGGTTGGCAAGCAACAAAACTGGAAAACATTTCCATCAGGGGCGAGTTATGCCACATGAGCTAAAGTTGAGTCTGATTCATATGCGGTAAAAATACACTAAACTAGAGAAATATTATACTGAAATACTGAAAAACTGTGTAGAACCTATGTCCTGTAGTATTTGAACTCAGATTGCAAATTCTGCTGATTCATTTATTTCTGGCTTTCTCGAAACTTACCATACCATACCATACTATATGGTACTGTACCATTCATACTGTTAGGAATGATAGTCACCTAACAGTTGGGTTGGCAACATAGAAACCAGGATAGTCATTTAATACTGTTGTATCTTTAAGAGAATGTTGTAATTATGATTGGCTGAGGTTCCTCTAACGGCCATAAGATGGAGCCAGAAACCTGATTTGTTCTTTTTTGCATTTCTTTCACTTTCCTTTTGCCTGATCGTCATTCTGCTTGAATTGCTGTGAGTCTTGCAACTATTCGCAAACTCCATTTACTGAACTTTGTTTATGACACTGGTAAAGAAAAGGACTTCGTTTTTAGATTATCCCTGGACTGATTATTTTGAATACTAACTGCTTTAACTGCATATGATTTGGACTGTTTGTTGGACTTTGTTTACCTGTTTACAGGAAATAAAACTTACATTTTACTATTCAGTGTATCTGTGTGCTGTTGTGTTATTCATCACCACTCTCACTATGTTTCCCTGAGTGCAGTCATTCTCCTAACGGGGAATACCTCAACACATACCATACCACACTATACCATACTGTACCATACATCATACCACACCAAACCAATCATATCATCTGAGTCTAGTCTTATAGACAATCACTAAGCCATTTGATGTACTCACCTGCTTTTCCAATCTGAACTGCCAGGCGGGTAAGCTTTCCCTGCAACACTGATTTCTCCTTCTTTGGGACCTTCACCTTTTTCTTCTCTTTCTCCTCATTTTCCACCCCTTCTTGGCTTTTCAGTGGTTGGATCTCCAGGGCCACTCCATCCTGAGTTTTGGCTGAATCCAGGATGAAACAAACATGCAGTGAATGAGAAGAACACTCATAAAAACATTTCAGATGCAACAGAAAGAACAAGAAAAATGGCAGAGTAAGAGAGAAAGAATCCCAGCACATGGGAACCCCAACAGCACTCACGGAAACTTGGTAATTTGGAAACCTAGAAAATCAGGCAGTTCTGCTCCACATTCCTGTGGAACTGGTGACTAAAGCAGATTGTGAAAATCCCCCCCCCCCTTAATTAAATATGTTTCAACAGTTAACTTGCCTATACCAGGAACGAAGGACAGCCTTGATAAGAAGGTTTTGGGGGCTGGCTTCCTGAGTGCCTCAAATGTCTATGCAAGGCATCTCCTCTATTAGCATTTCTATAATATGTGTTCGTCAGGATTCATTTCACTGAGGTAGTAAAAATGAAAAATCTAATCTGTGAGCAGCTACAAAGTTTGAAATTAAACCTAGAATTTTGTTGTTGAACAAAGCCACTGTTGTCAACTTGAGAGACAACCATAACCAACCAAGCTAAATTTAGCCTACATAGATGAGAAAGTGAAAAACAGCACCTGTCCAGTCTTTATGGATGGTTTATGGTTTGAGAAATTAATGCAAAAGAAACATATAAGCTATTCAAATTTCTCCACTCTTAATAGAGGGGAAGGTCCTTATTAAAAATAACTAAAGTAAATAAGTATAATAAATTCTTTCTTTAAATTGTGATTTCAAAGGTATATTCTAGAAATGAATTCAAAAGCTATAAAGATTATTTTCTGATCAGGCCATATCTTTTAAAACTACTGTCTTCACACTTATATAGGTATCACATCTTGAGGGTGGGGAGGAGGAGTAAGAGGAGAGGAAGGTTAATTATAAAGAGGTTAGGACTGGGTCAGTCAATGAGAAATGAATCAGTTAGTCTGTTCAACCTCCCCTTCACCCATCCCTTCTAAGCTCTGTGACTCCATTCCTAATATTTTTGGAACTTCTAAAAATATAGTTGGCAGATCCTCAACTGGTGCATATCAGCGTAACTGCAGCAATTTATTTACCTACCAAAATCAGAGATTCAATCCCCAAATCCACAGAATTAATAAGAGCTTAAAAAAAACTAAAATCAAATGATGTAGGCTTTTATAATATGCACTTCTTTTAATTATTTATTGCTCATTGGGGTATTTGTATGCACTGAGAATTATTTTATGCAGACTGAAATATAAATTTCTCATCAATAAACAAAGGCAAAATGCCATCAATTCCCCAAATCATGTGGGTTCAGAAAAATGTGGGCAGTACTGCCCAATAACTGATTTGCACAGTTAGGATTTATGGACATGATGGGAAAGGGCAAGGAAGAGGATAATCAATGCCAAAATAATCCAAGATTTCAAGGTCAGAAGGAGGGAAAACTCAAAACTGTGGAGAAAAGGAAGAAAAAGAGAAAGGCAAGAAGGAGAACAGACAGGTACAGAAATGAGCTTCTTCACCATAGCCTGGAAAGAACAGGGGGTGATACATATCAGAAAATAAACACTCACTTTGATTCAAAAGCCCATGAGAAGAACAGAGTGCAATGAATACCTATGCTGGACCCACCACACAAGGTTCTGATTTTTATTTTTTATTTTAAAAAAGATCAGATTTGGAACTGGAGATAGAAAGCCAACCAACATCATCTTGGGAAGTAAGTAATTATCCCAATTGTATAGGAACTCACTTCATATCAAATAGTCTTTCATGCATATTTAACTAAGAGATTTCCATAAAGGTTTTACATCTTTTGTGTTTTGTTTTAAAAACATGGTACAGTGGCCTAGTTCTTAGAGTGCGTGAGGCATGCATGCAGATACCAAGGCATACACCTCATAGCATCGGCTCAAAAATTCAGTGCTCAACTAGATGAAGATTGTGTAGTACTAGATATGGAATTCTCCCAAGTAAGGATGGCTATACAATGGATAGAAAAAAGAGTGGCGGGTGATAAGCATTGTGGTAATCATGACACTCTCTTCTAGAACAACAAGGCGAGATTCCCGCCGTAGCGACAAAGAGCACAGACTCATGGGAAGAAGGAAGGAGGAATGCTCAGTAGTTAGTGTGGTGCTGGTTCAAAGGATGGAGAGGCTGGTTACCTTTGTTGCGATTTTCAGGGGCTCCGGTTTTTTTACCTGTTTAGACAAAGAGAGAAAGGGTGGAGCACTGAGCGCATGATTCTTGACTCTGATGTCCCTGATGGTGAGGGCACCTTTATGTGGGAACTCAGTGCTCTTATGCGGAGGTTGCAGATATCGAGAGGTAAGCTATACTTGATAGAACTGCCATCTGGACTGACAAATGCAAAAGGCCCAGAGAAGTTCAATGTTTCTCCAACTAATTGCCATTATGAACTCCCTCTTTTCAATTCTTGTACTCACTCTACTGAAAACAAGCAATTATAGGAACAACAATTTGAATCAATGGAATAATTTGCTGTTCAGAGTGACAGATTGTATTATGACTGAGCTATCAGCACTAAATATTAAGGATCAGTTCTTACACTGAACTCCACTAAGTTAATTTTTTTCAACAGTGTGGGGACGACATGTTTTTTTTCCTATCACGCTGAGCTTAACACTACAACATCTATAATACAACTCATAGCTCACAGAGTCTGATAGGAGTGAGGTACACTCCACTTTGTGGAGCTATGTGGAATAGGGGAATAGAAAGATCGGGCTCTACTCCCTTGAGCATCATGCTCCCTGTTGCTGTCATGATGAATTCTCTATTTCAATCCATATCAAAAGGAAAGACAGGGGACTTCAAGAAAATACTCATTTATTATTAATGCCTAGAATGTTCTACCTGCAGATTTATTCTTTGGCCTCAAGGAGAAGATATCACAGCTATTTCTGCTGAGGTCTGGGTAAGAGTCATCTTGAATGGAAGCTGTGAATCCCCACCCACCCCCCACCCTGAAAGGAAAAGATAAAGGAGCAGCTACAGCCCAAATGTTTTCCATTTCACTCATTTGTGTATTAAAATAAAAAATAGGAAAAATAAGCAACTTCTGCTTACAGGGGTAGATAGAATGACCTCATCTGGCTACTAGCAAAACTGCACCACCATCTTTCCTCAGTCTTAGCCTCATTAAGTCCTGTCCTTTTAACACTGTTTCAGTGGGGTGATGTTGGAGAAGCTATCAGCAGATCATTTTTGCATATCCCTTGGCTGGCCAAGATGGAATTAAAACTCAGATGCCTCTTATGTTATGAGCAAATCAGACCAGCAAGCAGGTTTTTGTTTTCATAAACCACATACCAAAGTTCTGTTTTCTTTGTCTTTAGTTGAAAGCAAAAAAAGCTTCAAAATCTTATTTGGATAAGCTACCATGCACAATGCTTTGTGATTTAATAGAGGCTGAGTAGTCCAGGAGAGGTTGTTAAAATTGTTTGGGTTCAGATTAATTATTTTGTAATAAACACATACACTGATCACATTTACCATTCTCTAGTGATTGTTGCTCAGCGTGAGCTTATTTCACAATATGGAAATATGAATGACACATTTAAGAGGATTGCTCCAAGTATGAATAAGTTTGCATTAAGTAGTGGGTGCAGTAATGATTCCTCTTTAATAAAAATTTAGTCACATGGACTGTGGAAACCACTCTACACTAGCCAAAATCAATGCTAGGTTGAAGGAAAAAATAATAGAATGTCCCTACAAAATGCATCTTCTTAAGTAAATGTTTCAAAGAGATCTGGTTTAAACAATAACCTAGAGAAATGTGTATTTATCTTTTGCGTGTACAATCTTTTGGATGAGGAATTTTATCATGCTCCTGATACATCAACTTTATTTTTTAAGAGTGAAAGTACATAAAAAAGTTCCACTAAAGATATATATACACCACCGAAAACATGTTACCAGAAACTTCAGGGAAGTTCATCCAAGCAGGAGACAAAAGCAAGAGTTCTCTATACCACTATTTGACCCCAAGTAACTTGATGTGCATAGCTATAATATGATCACGGTTACATATTCAATTGACCTTAGTTGCGATCTTAATAATTTTATTCTGGGATGAGAAACCTATAGTTCCTTAGTGTGTCCATAGTGGTGTGTCCATAGTAAACAAGTTATAATTGAAGGGCCATGGATGCTCATCCTTGCTATCTGTTAAGAGCAAACCTGTTTCTGTCAAGTGCCAATTGGTAGGCAGGGAAAAATGTATCAAAGTAAAAGATGTATCAGCAGGATTTTTCTTCTAAGATTTGTAGTAGTACCACAAAACCAATACAAACAAAAAAAAGGTGCCCTCAAATGGTAGTAGAGAAGTAAACAATCTTATGTCAACTGGATATGCTCACTTGTCATAGAAAGCAGGCCTGGTATTAAAAATAAAGGATTTGGGTGGGGGAAGGAGGCAATATAATGGGATATTTTGTAAAAGTACATGTTGTCCAACACCCTATACGCAAGTACTTGGCACCACAACTGCTCATTTCAGGTCCCCTTGTCTTTTTCAAAATTCACTTGTGCTTGATGCAGATGATGACTCAATAGACAAAAATCTGCATGTTGTTTCCAAAACCAACTTTTAGATGACAATCTTCTATTGTCTCTATTTCTTGGCATTATTGAGTTACTAGTGATCTGTGAGCATGATTCTTGACCCTCTAATCTCTGGCATGCACAGTGCCGATTACATGTTGCATTTATAATAAGATGCTTAAACCTTCAGGTTTTACCCCCTTATAAAATTCAAAAACTTCCAATGTCACTAAGGAACTTCACGCCACCAACATCAAGAATGGCTTATGGCTCTTACCTTTCTTGGCTTTTTTCTCCTCATCCCCTTCACTGGCGCCCAAAAGAGTAAAAATTATTCCAGTCTGTGAGTTGATACCCACAGCAGTCACCACCATTCGACCAGAGCCCTCCATTACATGAGTGCCTAACAAGAACAATAGGTGAAGCATGGGAGAGGAAGAAAAAAAAGAGGCAATGGATAAAACAATAGAATCAATTCCAAAATATAACCTAAAAGATGTTCACATCATATCTGGAAGATGAAATTTAATCTCTAGATCACTTGTTCGCATTGATGTACATGCATGCATGAATTTCCTGTCTGTGCTAGCTTCAATATTCATAGTGCATATAATACATGCAAGGAAATATATACATAATGACGATTGAATAACTTTTTTATTTTTTAAAGCATGAAAGGCTCAATCCCATTGGCCAACAAGAGTTGGATAAGACTAATTCTTTTACTAAAGCATTCTTGAATGTTGTTATGCTACTTCTCCAGGAAGAAGTAGAAGTTGAGGGATGCTATAGAGAATGTGATGACCCATAGTCTCTCAAAATAACCCAAAACCCCAAACATATATTAAAGTCCGGAAAGGCCTTTAACTTAACTTCACTGTTTTAATTAGGCATAGTTTAAAGTCACAAAAATAAATGAGGCAAAAACGAAACCAAAACAAACTGCATTAACGAGAGTTCCAAAGCAAGCCAAGATAACTAATCATACATTCCAGGAAGATAACCGAGGAGAGTCCATGGGAAGAAAGCCGGGAAAGATAAACCTCTTTCAAAAAAAACCCAATAAACTTTGACTATGGCAATTCTGACTACGCAGTTACAAACTTATATACATAGCTCCCAGCTTCAAGCCACGAGGAGGATCATGGTAATCTCCTCCTGAGTAGACCTCGCTTTTCCCTGATCCTCTCCTCCCTGCGTGACCTAGGATGGATAGGGGATGGGTCTGGATCCTCCTCTGATTGCTCAGCCGGCCTCTGCCCTTCCCCAGCCTCCTCCACCACCCCTGGAGCCACACTCCCACTCCCTGTTGGCTGTTCCTCCTCTTCCTCAGAGTCAGACTCCACCAGGGGCATGACAGAGAATCAAGTATTCAGTATGATTATGCTACAGCTTTATAGTCAAAAAGAATGGACCAGATGAGTGAAGCTTGTACATGAGATGGTTCAAAGATCCCTGTGAAAAGCAAAATAAATGTTGAATGTTTCCCAGAATAAACATGTGGAAAATCTTGCCTAGCTTATCCTAGAGAATAATAAAACAGCTTCTTTACTACACAACTACCGGCATTTTCATAAGGGCAATTATCAGCGTACGGGATATATTTGCACCTAGGTCCAAAAGGCTCAAGAGATCTGAACTATAAATAAAGTTCCAATTTCCTGCAACCTGACAGACTTACCAGAAAGCAGCATAGGGTCTTTATCCAAAGATTTCTTCACTTGGTCAGATTCCCCAGTCAGAGAGCTCTCATCAATTTTCAAATCATTTCCTTGAATCAAAATGCCATCTGCTGGCAACAGATCCCCTAAAAAAGTCAGAAAAGCAACAGATCACCAAAGTTTTCTACACCAAATCAAGGCTTTAGAAAATCCATCAAGCCAAAGCCAAATTAACTTTTGTATTTTTTTTTAAGCTTAACTGAGGACAGAGAGGGGCATGTAGTCATTACTGGAAATGCAATATGTTAGGCAGCATCAATTTTGCTGAATTCAGCAATAATAGGAAAAAAAATTCCTGCCTGTACTCAACTAATTTGCTTTGGAAAAAAATAAAGTTTAATTCCAATTGCACTGAGAGAGAGAGATAAATTGAGTTTCCACAAGCTGTGTTCCTGCTAAGCATTATTCCCTTTGCATGTAAGAATTCCATTAGGAATTGAGGAAAATCCATCCACCCTTCATCTGTGAGACATAATTGCAATTCCACAAACAAATAAGGGAAATTCAGATAAGCAAGTATATTTTGAAGGCTTTGAAAGAGGGTAGTCATCAGGACACATTCATGTAATTAATAAAATAATATTCAATGTTAAAATTTTTTTATACAAGTTTCATTTGAACAACATAACATAAGGTTATCCAAAGTGCAAAGTTTATATATCTGCTTTCCTGCTTGTATTCTTTCCTATATGCCAATTTTTCAATATCACTTCTAATCAATCTCTTTTTCACAAGAGACCACACATTCACTAGGCCCAAGAGAATTATATAACTGGTTGAATTTCATTCATGTGAACCCTACATATATATATATATATATACACACACACACACATACATACGGTATATAACCTTTTTCTGCACCTCATAGCCTTTTTCCCAAAGGGCTTCATGGTACATCCTGATGCTGAACCCATGTACTTCTTCCAGACAGATAAGCACTGCATCTCCTAAACATCTTATATTTCCTATAGGAGAATGATGCTGGAAGGTCAGCACGGTGCATCTTGGAATAATGCTGTCTTTATTAAGCTGCAGATGAACTACACTGCTGATCTTCTCATCCCATTTTAGTTAAGTGTTGAACAGCAGCAGAAAATTGAGGAAATAAGGACTGGAGCTGGGCTTTCTGTGCATATGAGTGCAGAAAGAAAGAAAATAGGAGCACAGCAATTTTTTAATGTAGACAACACACATGGTATCTTGACTCACATAGGTTGTACAGTATCATCCCTCTCATCATGATACTTCTCCCAGCAGGAAGCAAGGAGTTGGATGCGCATGAGATATTTCCATGGATGGCAAAGATTGTTCACGTGGCTTGTGAATGATAACTGACAAACCTAGAAGCAGCATCTATGTCTTAATGTGTATATGTCCCTTTGGTTTTAATCGCACAGTGATAACCATAAGCACAGTGATAATTTCAATACATGAAAAAAATATTCTGGAAAATTTATAGTTACTCACCATATTTGATTTGAGCAATGTCCCCAACCACAATCTCAGCTACAGGAATTTGGATCACCTGTCCCTTACGGATGACAGTAAATTTCTGCTCCTGCTCGATGCGACTCTGCAGACCCCGGAATTGTTTCTCTTTGCTCCAGTCATTGAAAGCTGTGACCAACACCACAATAATAACTGAGAAGAGGATGGCTGCTCCCTCAATCCAGCCAGCCTGAGCTTCACCTTCATCTTCTGCGCTGCCCTTTGCTTCTCCACATACTTCCAAGAGAAAAGAATGGTTTAAAATAATACTATGTTGAAATAATACTTGGAGAATCACAGAATCAGTATTTTAGACAGACTCAAACTTGTTATATTCCATAATAATTCTACAGACAACATTAAATACAAAGAAGGCAACATTTTTGTTTACTAGCACTTTGAATCCAAAAGCCGAAATGAAAAAATATATATACATCATTTTGTAAAGATTCTAGAGATATTTATCTGTGAACAAACTTCACAGGGTGTAATAAGCTTCAACTACTGAAGGTAATTGCAAAAATATATTCTTAGCTTTACTACGACAATGATTGCAGAAAAATAACCCATCAATCTATATCAGCTTCATGATTAAAGTAGAATTAATTCATTGAAATAATAAGAACTGATGAAGAATCAAAGGTATTGAAGTATGTTAATAACACTTTAAGGGATATCTAAGGCACATAAAAATGTCAAACTGTTCCATTCCAGAGGTAGTCTGGCTCTGAAATCGTTGATTTTTTTAGAATTACTTCCAAAGCAATTTTCAAATGAAATCATTCAAAAAAAAAATCCAGCAATACAATGCAATAAATATAACTACAATTCAAAACCATGAAGTACTGTATAAAAATAGAGTAGTTAATAATAAAATTTATACAACTGAACAAAAAAGGCTTTTAATTCTTGTCCACATTGTGAACCCCTTTGATCTCAATAAAAAAGATCATTTCATACAGTAGGCATCTCAATCACGAATGATTCTGTGTAGCATGATAAGGAAGGATATTTCCTCAAAAAACAAAGGCTAGGTAGGCCAGTAAAATGGTCTTGCATGGAAGAAAGTGCCGCTGGTCCAGATCAGTTGAAGACCTCTCTATTCTCATGCAACATCCCTACTATATAAGATGTCTTAGTTAGCAGTGGGCTTCTGAGTTCAATTTAAGGTGTTCTGAAATAAGCAAAACTGAATGATCCCTGAAGTCACAACATTGTCATAAATCCTTTGATCAAAAAAGGCACAACTGGAAGAAACCACTGTTGCAGTAGGCAAGTTAAGAAGGTTTTTAAAAATTACATTGAAAGGAAGAGAAAGCCTCTTAGCTCTAAAGTTAAGTAACATAAGCTGGTCTGTTTTGCCACCATCTGGAATACGTTATGACTATTTTAAGCTTTACAAAACAGAGTAACAGAGTTGGAAGGGACCTTGTAGATCATCTAGTCCAACCCCCTGCCCAAGCAGGAGGCGCTATACCATTTCTGACAAATGGCAGTCCAACCTCTTCTTGAAAGTCTCAAGTGATGAAGCTCCCACAACTTCCAAAGGCAAGCTGTTCCATTGGTTGACTGTTCTGTCAGAAAATTTCTCCTTATTTCCAGGTTAAATCTTTCCTTGTTCAGTTTCCATCCATTATTCCTTGTCTGGTCTACAGGTGCTTTAGAAAATAGTTTGCCCCCTTCCTCTCTGTGGCAGCCCCTCAGATATTGGAACACTGCTATCATGTCTCCCCTAGTCCTTCTCTTCACTAGACTAGCCAAGCCCAGTTCTTGTAACTGTTCTTCATATGTTTTAGTCTCCAGTCCCCTAATCATCCTGGTTGCTCTTCTCTGCATTTTTTCTAGAGCCTCAGCATTTTTTTTATAGTGTAGTGACCAAAACTGGATGTAGTACTCTAGGTATGGTCTTACTTAGGCTTTATAGAGTGGTATTAATACCACTTGATCTTGATTGTATCCCTCTGTGAATGCAATTTAGGATTATATTGGCTTTTTTGGCTGCTGCTGCACGTTGCTGACTCATATTTAGCTGGTGGTCCACTAAGACTCAAAGATCCCTCTCAGAATTACTGCTGGTAATCCTGGTTTCACCCAGTCTATATGTATAATTTTTTTTTTGTATGAGTGTAGGACTTTACTTTTCTCTACATTGAATTTCATTTTGTTAGATAGGGCCCAGTGTTCAGGTCTGTCATGATACATCTGGGTCTTGAGCCTGTCTTCTAGGGCGTTAGCTATTCCTGCAAGCTTAGTGTCATCTGCAAATTTGGTAAGTTCCCCTTCTCTCTAAAACTCATCTTGCTGCTCCCTGTTTTAGTGGACAACAAAATAGAGCCAATGTTTGGCATTAAAGAACTACTTGCTCTCCCACAAACCTTACCAACATGCAGAGTCCCTTTCAGGAAACCTTTCCTCAGCCCTTTGCTTCCTGAATTTTCTAGAGGACCCTCAGGAAATGCTCCTTCTTGCTTGAGGCATTCAATGTTTGGAAAAGGAGGTCCTCTCAACAGCCAATCATCTGTCTTTTAAATGCCAAAGACAGACAACATTTTGTTTTCCCAGGCATCTAAAAAACTACCATCTGATTCTGCCACTGTGAGGTTCTCCTGTACTTGTAGCATCTTCTTTTGTTCCATTACTTTATTAGTTTATTCCTGATGCTGATTGTTAGCTTCTTGAGAATATATGGCCCTTTTCTTTGTGGTGTGCCTGTTCCAATCTAACAACCATGGGTATACACAAACACTTAAATAAAATAAATATTACTAATAATAATACTCATAATACTAGCTTTTACAGCAGGAAAGTGCTAAAGAATTATTCTAAGAAAAACTATTGCTTCTCTAGCAATAAAATAGTTATATCAAATATTTTAAGATGCAGAGAAAATGAAGCACAGAATCTTTTTCCACATGAGAATTTGAGAGAATTTAAATATAGGAATGATGGCTAGAATCAATCTGGAATCATTGAAATTTATTTGTTTCTTAAATCTTATAACAGACCTATTACAGATAAGAATTTCCTTTCCCTCATGCCAAGGAATTTGTTTTCTTTCTGTTTTTTTTTTAAATTCCTGCTGCCTAATATAGTTGTCCTTCAAAATTAATTTAAGGCATGTTTAAATTTTAAGCATACCTGCTTGATTTTGGAAGGATTTAAGTTCCTTGAGATTACTATTATATATATGGCTCAATAGTAATTATATTCAAATAAAAATGTTTTAATTCTATCAAAATCAACATTTCAATAAGCAATATTTAAAAACAAAGCTATAAGTTAAACAGTGGTACGTCAAAAGAAAAAGATATTAATATCTTAAAAGTGTCTCAAAAATTAAATCATAAAATGAATTACTTATATAATCAATCAATCAATCAGTCAGTCTATTACAGTCTTACACCAGAGACCAGAATAAAAATGCTCAGTAGATATACAATTAAAAATTCTAGTATAAAATATAAATAACAATTAAAATCTATAATAAAATCCAGCCTTCTCAATTATACTTGGTCTAACTATACTAAAATTACAATCCATAAACTATGTGGCCTGTTGTAGGTTCAATGCTAAAAGGGAAAAGACTAAGCAATTCAAAGGTTTTGTCACATTTGTTAATGTAACTATAGTGGAGAAGACATTGTTTGCGACGAATCCCCAGTGCTGCTGCACAGAATTTGGCCATCTGAACTGTAGTTATGGACTGTTGCTTGTGTAAAATAAATCAGCTAAAATTATCTAGAATATTTAATTTCTGTCTCCGTTTATGTGTTTAAGATTGTATAAATATTTGTGCAACTGGAAGACAATGAGTTATTTCAATTTAAAAAAAATAGTGAAAACTGAAGTGATTTAGAGAGAATTAACAGACTCTATTTATAGAATGAGTTTAATAAACCATAAAAATGTTTTATAAAATCACATTGAAGATCAAGAGTCAAATTATCTTTTTTGAGAGGACCAAGTTATCTGAAATAAATAATTCCAAGAAAAAGAAATGCATCCAAATCCTTCTGTGAAAGAAGTACAAATCAAATAGAAGAAATACAAATCAAAGGAAGGAAAGAGAAGAACGCCAGCTGTAAGGATTCAATGGTGTACCACTGGAAGATCTGAAGGTCTCAATTTACGATGGATCATTCTGAAGGTCTTATCTATGTGATCACTAAGAATTGTCATCAGTCTGATGGCACATAAGCAGCCAATTAAAGGAACCAATAGAAAATGACAACAGCTAGGCAAGTTATTACAAGTTGGCACATCCAGCAAAAAAAATATTCCATTTGTGATAAGATAGAATAGCCTAGGGAATATTGGTATTTGTCTGTGAGATAAGGGTATCCTAAAACCATTTCATATACTGATAATACTTATAAACATACAAACAAATCTGAATATGTAAACAAGTCAGACTTATAGCATTTTAAGCCTCCTTTCTGTGAGAGTTACAGCAGTCAACTGTAAAGCAAACAGCTAAGTGCCTAATTTGTCACCTGTTTTTCCATTCAAATTGTTTTATAGATAAAATGACTTGCTATTCCAATTAAAAAATGTATTCAGAAGGGCATTCCACAATTTATGAAATTAATTTGGCAAAAGAAATGCAATTCTCAAGTTACAATCAAAAATTTGGAAACATCTAGCATAACAGCCTGACAGTTTGAACAGGTTTTGGTCTTTAAAAAAAAACTAAATGGCAGCAGCAAAATGTCAAATGAAATTTAATGCAATGAGAGCAAAATAATGCACAATGCAAAGAGCTATTTAACCTAAGTATAGAATACTGAGCTCTAGAAACAGATTTTGGAGTCACTGCACGTTGTTGAAATTGCTCCCAAAGATTCTGTTAATACAGGGGACAGATCCATGAAATGAATTATCAGGCGACTTCATAAAAAACCAATTTTATGTAAAATACAACTATTCCACAGAACTGTAAAGGCTGTAGCATAGCTGTAAAAGCTACTGTAAAAGCTAGCATAGATGTCTATGGAGATTCTCAGTTATCCAGGTCATGGTTGTCCCAAAGGTGCTGTTTTAAGAGGCAACTGGACATTCTGGTTTTTCTTTGAAGACATTTCGTTTCTCATCCAAGAAGCTTCTTCAGAAACCAGAAAGTCCAGTTGCATCTTTGGGACTACTAGCATAGAGTAGTTTAAAAAAAGGATACAGGACTACCTTTTTGGAGTGAGACTATTACCTGCTGCTGTGACAGTTCTATGTCAGAGAGAGACAGA